AAAGTTTAATAATATATTTTACAAATATTTAACACGTTAATTGCCACGATTAGTAAAATATTCACAACGACCATGATAACTTTATTAGGTAATTTAGTTAAAAATGTATCAAAGAAAAAAAATGTCACGCGTATATGATTGACAAAAACCAATTCAACAATTTCATGTTTGATAAAGTCGATCTTTAACCATACTTTCAAAAGCATTGAAACTGATGATGAATGTAATAAAACATATCTTAATTTCTTCGAACTTCGAATATTCTTAAAGGCACTATAAATATAGGTATTACAAACATTTATACAAATAAATTTAATGTGAGTATTTCTAAGCCAATTATAATTTCTCATTCTTATATATATTTTACTAAATAGAACTGAAACCAATACAAATGGTATAGATTAAATTTTTTTAGTTATGATAATATATATGAGAAAAGTATATAATAATAGTGATAGAAGCTGCTCTTTAACTATACTGTCATAGAAAAATTAATAAAATTTAACCAACTAGTATTAATTGGAATAAAGACGTCTTAGAAAGTGGCTGTCATCATGAGAAGACTAAATTTTTCTTCCAGATTAAATTTTTGCGAATCGATGACGAGTAAATTCCAAATAAAATTTTATTGCTTTTTTGAGACTGAGTACAAAAGACATCTACCTTACATTTCTACGTCTTTGCAAAGACAATAATTAGATACCTCGGTTTGAATTTTTGAGTCGAACAGCAGAAATCATTTTGGTTATTTGAAATTTCAAAATAAGATGATTACAAGCCAATTGCAGATGTTTATTTGTTATATATTTAATAGTTTTTTAAGATGCCTCAATTTACACAAAATTAATGTCTGAAAGTATACATGAACACTAGGTACTGGATTCATCATTAAGACATCAGCTAAGCCAATACCTTCAAACTCGCACTATAAGGAAACATTTATTCAGCAATAATATACATTTCAATAATCATAATAAAATATTTTATAAATTATGTATATATGAACACATATCACTTTTTAATATTACTAAATAATTTTATACGCTATAAACGTTTCGAAACCTTGTGTCTCATCATCAGGACATCAGGGTAAAAAATAACAAATAATATTGAAACATTTTAAAACCAATTAATTCAAAAGTATGTTCAACTATATTATATGTACGCGTAAAATTTTGTGGTAAAAATCTGTTGTAATTGCTTTGTTGCCATATATAATTAAACTTTGGCTTTTATAATGTGAAAATTAATATTCACAAAGATATTTATATAATTAAAATAAAAAATATATTTTATGTTTTTTATAAATATAAAAGATATGGAATTTAATCGAAGGAAAATATGAGAATAATCCATATGTGATTCGAAATATAATATTAAACTTTTGTCAGTATGGGGTTCTGGTATAGAATCGAAACATCTTTAAAAGAAACATTATGCATTACAGAGTCAATTAATAAATAAATAAATAAATATATATATATATATATATATATATATATATATAGATATACAAATATATCTATTATCTAAAACCACAAAAAATAACTCAAAAATATAAGACAAAATTTCAGGATAAAAGGACTATAAATAATTTTGAATACTAACATCGACATAGTTGTACTTGTCAATCACATATTAATTGTATTTCTGACAATATAATTATTATATTCAATAAAAGCCATTTGACAACTTTTTTGTTCTGTTTTATGAGCGCAAATATTCAATATGTTTAAATTTAAAAAATATATATAAAATGTTTTAGCTTCATTAGTGACCCAACGTTTAATAAAATTATAAATGAAAGCTCCTCTATACACAAAATTTAATTTTTGTCTATCACTAATTCTACAAATTAGTGAGAGAAAAATGAGTTATATATAGCATGAAATATGAATGGGTCATGTAAAAAGCAAATAAAAAAGTTGACAAAGCTAATAGACCTCATTAAATTTGGTAAAATTATACATGAATATTAATAGATACATTGCTAAACGTTTATCAAAATGTCAATCAATTTCTCCTGTTTTTACTAGATACAAGGTCGTCATATATATTTGGAAATTTTAAAAATGATTTCTATATATAGTCTATATAGTAAAATATACATCCATAAGTATCAGTGCATATATATATATATATATATATATATAGATATATATATATAATCACATACTTATGGATACAAATGAGTATATATGCATGAATACAAGATTGTATATGAATGTCTCAGCCGGTGTCTCATTGGCAAACGTTGAAAGGTGAAAGTTTTAAATTAAAAACTAGTATCGGATTGGGTGTGTTGTATATATATACATACATTTATTAATTATGTAAACACGACCACACTACACTCTTTATTTTTGCACAAAATTTATTGAAGACCTTGATTTGACTCATTATCCGTGTAAAATTATCAAAAATATGAACACATTAAGTTGCGGGTTTTATATATTTTTTTCAATTACTTTAATTTATTTATTAATTATTATTTTTTTTACTGAAAACTATGATATTAACGAAAGTTATTTATTGTATACTTAAAATGCAAAATGAATAATTGTTATCAAAGCTACAAATTGTTATAAAATTTGGAGCTAAAAAGCAGCTGAACACGTTTATAGCATGATAAATTGATAGTTTAATTTTTTCCACCATCAATTTCATATCCTAGGAACGTACTGATGCATTTTTATACTTAGATTTTCTTCCTGGCTTATTTCATATTAGAACATCCTTATTTCGGCACCGTTTGAATTGTATGTTTGGACACCAAGCTCAGTCTCAGAACATTCATGATTAGTAAAATATTGCCCAGATCAATCTTGTTAATTGATCAATTTTTTTAAGTTTTTAAAACAATGTGTTAATTTTGTTTGTTTTTCATGGTTTGGAAAATTATTCGTTGTTTTTTTGTTTAGACTGCAAATAAATATTTCAAGAATACGGTTCAACGTCAAACAAAAATAAAAAAAAGTTCAAGTTTCAAGGTAGTCCTTCTTGTCATTGTTGTTATTACAAAAGGTTGTTACAACAAAAGTACTAGTTGGCGTAAATAGAGCTTAAACTAGCTGTAAGTGGAAATGTGTCTTAAGGAAATTAAGGCATCGTGCCTTAAGGCAAATTGCTTGCAAAATGTTTACGTAAGCATGGGGGTAGGGGGTAAGAGCTTTGCTTACTTTTGCTGACAAGGGGGATGGGGGGGTAAATAATTGTAATAAATCTGCTTACGTAATACTTGAACGATCCCTTTCTCAAAAATCTAATCTTTTCGAAGTAAATTTTTTTCAAAAATGTTAATCGTTTTTAAAAAACTAATAATTTTTGGTACGGGAAGTTTCAACAATTTGCCTTAAGGCAGGATGCCTTAATTGCCTTAAGACAGAATTCCACTTACAGCTAGTTAAATTATTTAAATCGGTTGATCGGTGTTCTCGAAATCGTCGAGAATTTGTATCCGAACACACACGCACACACACACACACACACACACATACATACATCCATTTTTCTAAGGTCTGCCAAAATATTCAGAAACCTTTGAAACGTCGAGAAATGCAAAAATTTTCATTTTCGATTTTTTTGCGATTACTTAACTTACCCTACGGGAAGTTAATAAAAATGAATATACTTTAATGATTTGATGCAATATCGAGTTTTTAGTTTAATTGTGCATATTTTAATAAAAGCAAACCTAACCTAAAAGGTAAGAATGCCTTAAATTGCATGTGATGCCTTATTTATAAATGCAGAATTGATAGACGATATCCTTTATCACATTAGATAAAACTTACATCAATTGTAAATTATTATAGTGATTGAATCAATTTCTAAAATTGCACAAAAAGAAATTAGTTATACGGGATTTTAATATAAAGCAAGACGTAGGGGTACTATAGACAAATGGCACAGACAAATGGCACTATAGATAAGGATCTAGAAAATGCAAAATTGCAGAATACTAACTATCAACTCCAAATAGGATTACAAAAAATCTATTGGATTTGGTTTATTAAACAGCAATATTCTGATACTTTCTATAAACGATTTAACGTGAAATATCTTTTTACGACACATAATACGAGATCATAATTACCTGAATATAGGATAGGATAGCATAGGAACAAATTCAACGGTTTTTTCCTTAAGTTGCCAGTAAACAATCTGTTCACTACATATACATATATATATATATATATATATATATATAATGATAAATATTTGTATAAATACACAGTTACGAGTTATATTCATAGTACTACGTACTTGTGCCATAAATAATTAATATAAACTACCAATACTTCAGCAATTTAATTGCCGAGCAATTACTTGCAGTTGTAATTTCAACAGTGTAGAAAACGTATTCGTATTTATGTGCTCTATATATATTAAACATATACTGAATTGAAGTTTATCTTCTTTTAAAGCGAGTGCACCTATTACTGACCATCAATTTAATTAAGGCTTTATTAATGTATAGATCAATTTGTGTTTTTTCCCAAATCAGAATGGTGAATGGTGAATTCGTGTAGTGATATGAAAAATTAAACAATATACTATGTGATATATGTAAAATATTTATTTTTGACGATTAGGAATTCAAGAAGATTGAAAAAAAAAAAAAGATTTGGAAAATTAAATGAGGTTAATTACCCTACGATTGACATTGTGTTACTACGTTTTACTATTTGCATTATCTGCAAGTCTGCTGCATAAAATTATAAATTAATTCAGATAAATGGAATGGTGTATAAAATTGAATGATCATAAGAATATGCGATGAGCTTATAAAATGTGAAGAAGCAAGCTAAACATCGCTATTTATTTAATAGCAGTACCAATGTACATGTTTTCATAGTAATTAAAAAGCATTAATAAAAAAGATTATGCATATAAATCAAAGGCAAACTTGTTCGGATTAAAAAGAACAGCATTACCGAGCTGCAAGTGAAATGATCAAATTAATTATTTTCTTATCATTGATCTGTCCTTCATACGAAATGGACCAATCGGCTCATGTGTGTTTAGCATTGAGTCGTTTGTTCTGGAAGATCACCTTACCTTATTTCAAGGTAAGGCATTTAGTCGAATCCAGTTTTATATTTTAAAACATATGTTTTATTTCATATGGATCCGTGCAACGGATATGCACCGGAAGTAATATTAAATGTAACTGATTGTGACTTTAGGCAACAAGTTTCTACTAGATGGTAGGAGAAATGCGGACAAAATGGTATATATGGACTAAATGACTCAGTGACTTTATTAAAAAATTGGCTAGTTTTATTAACGTTCCCGCGACTGCATAGCATGAAGAAGCCCATAAAAACAATCCTGTCAGGTGTTGAGCGTCATTGCCACAGTCTTGACGCAGTAATTAGTTCAAACCTGTAACGTACCCGCAAAAGTTTGATTTGAGGGTAGTTTTTTCAGGTTTTCTGGAAACTTATTTTTGGTTATTTATTACTATTTCTATTAAATGAATTACGATGTATGATTCAATTCCTTCATGTGCCATGTCCCAAAGAGGACCAAACAATTTATTTGTGTTCTACTTAATTTGTGTAATTATTTGTGTCTTCTTAGAAACTTGTATCTACGATTGTCCTTACCTTACTGTCCGTACTATATGGACAAATGGTTTTATTCGCAATTATAAATGTGTTATTTAAAATAATCACTTGTTTTTGTCTTGTTTTTTAGTTTGACATGAAGATGTTGATACATTGACAGCTTGACAAACAACATTTTCAACATAATTCAACTTTGGCTGCGTGCCTGGCAAAGACAACTCGTTAGCAAACCTATAAGAATTGATACAAATACCCATGAACATGGGATAGTCAACCTCTATTTACTTGGTTTGCTATCGTGACAAATTTCTTCCTTAAAAACAGTGGATTTTATCTGACATCACATTAAATAATAAATAGTTAAAACTGTTTCGCAATTCGTAATGTTGAATCCAGAAAGAGTTGGCATCTTGTTTATTAACATTTGTTTCCTAATCCCAAGTTATTTCAATGCACACAATGTTGTGCAATTTTTAAAATCATCCTTGCAGCCATTCGAAATATTAAAATCAGTGATCTGTAGGTCTTTTTTCACACATATGCGCCTTTTTACATATTATGGCACCACTTATATATACCTATTTTAAAGCTCGTGTTTTATGAACCCATTCCACTAAAAACTTTTTCAATTTATTAAATTTTTTTACCTTTTGCTTTTTTCTGCACACCTCGCAAATTATATATTTCTTTAATTTTTTCTCTATTGTTCAAATTGTGAAGTAAGGTAGAAACATGCAAGTAATAAAGTCGGCAACTAATTGAGTTTGATTTTCTATTTGTGATTTTTTTTTATCGAAATCTTTCACTATCTCAATTTTTACCAATGAACAAAAATACAAATCGTGTTACGACGTTATAAACGATATTACAAATCCGAGACGTATTACGCGAGAAATCGTATCAAGCAAAATCGTTTTAAACGGGTTTTATTTCATACATTAGAAAATAAATCAAATAAAGAAAAATTTAAAATGCGATTTTTATAAATGTACAAGCAAAACCATTCAACGATTAAAAGCAAAACTATTATCAATTAGTTAAAATCAATATACATTTTTATTATCAAAATTAATTGTATAATTAAAAATTGTATGTATATTTTAGAATAAGAAGGCAATTATCGTATCAGCAAAAACAAATGATAGGAAATATGAAGATTACTTCGAATGCTTGTTGGAACAACAGTCCATGGCAATTGTGTACAATGACTATAACGAGTAAATAAATAAAATTATGTACATATTATATATAATATTCTATAATTCAAATTTAATTTTAATCTAAAATTTCAGAAATAATATTCAGCGTAAGGTGAATAGAAATGAAATGGAAATGGCCAATTATGGATATGTTTACGCGTCTGACAGCAAACATATGTTGATGAGAGGATTAGAAATACTTCAAAGGAATCATTCAAATGCTAAAATAGTCATTATATTAAGTCAAAGTTCAGCCACCGACTTAACTGATTTGATGAAAATAATATGGGAGAAGTATAACATGCTTAATGTTGTGGCATTATTATTGAATATATTTTTGTCTACTAGCAAATCTATCAGTGCTCTAGAACAACGCATAAACAAACATTATTCTACTCATAGGTTAGATGCTATATTATATAATCCATTCATAGAAAACGATGATGAAAAAGGTCGCTTTTATATATTTTCGGGAAGCAAAGATAATGATTTAGAATCAGTGTCCAAAAAGATATTGAGGATGCACAGAGAGAGAACTTTTAATGCCTATCAACATCCTCTGCGCGTTGGCATGTTCAATTTATTTGGTTTAGCACAGTCTGTAGAAGACAAAAACGGTAGTATCTACCGATACAATTTGCCTGATGGAGAAATGATTAATGCTGTAACAAAAGCTATAAACTTCAAACCGATTTTTATCAATCCTCCAAATAATAGCATGTACGGAGGTGTCACACAAAATGGTACATTTACAGGCGTTTTAGGTCTTCTAGAATATGGCAAAGTTGATGTCACATTCAACGTGAGGGTTTTGAAACAATATGGCCAAGAACATGCAACATTCTTACCAGCTATTGGCGACACGAAACTCTCATTTGTTGTACCAGTTGTAGAAAATACAAGTAAACCTACTTTTTTCGGAATTTTAGATAATACTGTAATGATTAGTACCTGTATAATATATGGCATAATATTATGGATGGACTATTATCTTAACAAAATCTTATCAAAAGTTAAATCTCGGACAATCTCTAGTGATATAGGATATAAAGGCATTACCTTATTTGGAATCATGCTTTTAGTGTCGCAGAAGAAACCAAAGATTGCCTACAGAAGATTTCTGGTTGGATCGCTTGCCATCTTTTCAACAATTATTGCTTTTGTATATCAAGGAAACATGGTAAAAATTTTGACGGTGAGTCATGAATCTAATAAATTTGATACATTGCAAAGGTTGGTCGACAGTGGATTGAAAATTTTGGTGCCGATTGGTTTGCGTAATTTTTTGCCAAACGAAAATAGTACTGACGTGGATCCTATTTACTATCGTCTCTCTCAAAGGCGCACATTGATAGACAATTATGAAGTTAGTTATAAACAAGTAGCATACAAACGTGATTCAGCCCTATTTTCTCTAGGAATATTTAATGAAAATTATCGATATGCTTTATACTCTAATAAAACAGGTAACAGTTTAATACACGTAGTAGACGAAGCACCTACTAGAACCATCTTGGCCTACATGGTTTTGAAAGAAAGTCCTTTCAGAGATAGAATTAACAAAGTAGTATTAAGATTATTTGAAGGTGGTTTTAGCCAGAAATTTTTACATGATAATTGGTATAAGTTGAGTCTAAAAATTGGCAGAATACACCAAGTGGAAAATACATTTTTTTCGATGGATGAACTAGCACCGATATTTATGCTATTCATATTCAGTTGTTCGATATGTACGGCTGTGTTTTTAGCAGAAATATTTATAGCTAATTTTTACGCAACTAGGAAGAAACGGTTAAAGCACAAAAATTCAATTAGGAACGTAATTAAAAAAATATGTCCTAATAAAGTTATAGTATATATTAAACATTTATTACAAATCGTAAAGTGTGAAAAAAACTAGTTTTCCAAAATTTAGCATAAACATTTAAAGCAATTGAAGGTTGTGCTTATGATACAATAGTGCATAATACGAAAATGACCCAGTTATATGGGATACATTTTCACATAATTTGCTTAAAAATAATAATAATAAAATAAAAATTATTATAATTTAAAATAGACTAAAAAATAAAGAAGCTTTTGTATGCTTTTGTGCGCTTATAAAATCTATGTGTATATAGTTTATAAAATAATTATCAGTAATATCAGTATATAAAATAACATTCAAATCTCAAAGTTGTGATGCAAACAATGAGTTGATCTCTTTAAGTAGATATACTATTTTCAATTTAAAGTCAATTTGGATCAATATATTTCAAACAAACAAAGGGATTTAAACAAACAACAAAACATTATTATTTCAGTAATTTCTGAAAAAGTTCGAAGTTTATTCTGTCAGCTACAAGTGAAAATACTGGTATATTAGCTTAGGAAAAAAGGCTGTGATAGATAGATGATAAAATAAATCAGAAATGAAAAAAAGCCTTAGAAGTTACAAGATTAATGAAACGAATTAGTAGTTGAAGTCCAACAATTTGTGATTGATTTTTGGAAGATACAATTTTCATGCAGCACAATATATTTTATTGAGTATGTGTTTCAGTTATTGATTTTACGATCAATTTATAAACTCAATGTTAAAGATTCTTAACAAACGGAGGTATCGAATATGGTAAAAATTTGTAAGCATGAAGTTGCAAAATTGCTTAAATATATGAATTCACCAGAACATTTACAAATCTCCCACAAAAATTCTTCCTGAAATATGAAAATCAATCAATGAAACTGAAAAAAAAAAATATTATAGCGAGCTCGGGTGGGAGATTTATAAAGCTTAATTTTGCTATAGAAAAAATTATATGTAAAGAATTTACTACATTTCAATCTCTATTTTTGAAATCTATGCTTAGTAATAATGAAGTTTATAAATTAATATTTAATAAATATTAAATAATAATATAGTCTATTTTTTAATTTAATGTGTTTATTTTTTCATTAAAAATTTTACGTCATCCATTACCAAAACTTTAATTTCCAGTCCATCTGAAGTAACCAAGAAGGAGGAGAGTTCAAGTTTGTCTTCCATAACAAAATATTCTAATTGAATATATATTCAGTCAGGCATCTTTCTTTATAATACAACTTGGATCTATTTTAGACTCATTTTGTGAAAATATAATGATATAAATAAAATATCTTTGAGAACACTGAACAAATTAGGCTAGTTCAGTGATTAATTTAGCATTACAAATTAGAAGCTTTGCACTTTATTTATTTTGTTAAGTATTACAAAATATTTTGTTCAAAGTTACTATATCTTGTGTAAGAAATTACTGAATTTTGCAAGACAATGAAAAAAATAAGAAGCTAGTATTTCATTTCAAATGTTGGTACCCTTTTACTGGGAGACTTAATTTTCAAAAATAAATTTCAAGATGTGAACATTTTAGCAACACACAAACTTTTGGTTAATATCGTTAATAATTATTAACAGCTCTTAGAAAAGCATATATTTTTTATGTTGGACCCTGTATGACTATAAAATGTTTTGTAATTGTTCACCTGAAAATATCAATTAGTATTAATTCAACCGTGAATATTGATTTGTAACGGTAATTGAATTTCACTGTAATTCGACACTTTTCACTTTTTCTGGTAGGAGATGAACCACGAAACGCACGGCGCATACAAAGTGTTGTTTTCCTTATAATAAGCGGTAGAAGAGGTCTGTAATCAGATCAAGTAATTTCGCGGTGTTGAAACTCTATGGGAAGTTCTTGCATTCAATTAATTTTTAACAATAGAAAACACCGATATTGTATATACAATTAAATATTCATGTAGGTAATACATGAATATATACATTCTTGTTTGTGTAAAAAATAACATTTTATATTTTTTATGTTATTAAAATACTATAGGTTGGCCAAAAAACCAATATATATCAAAACTGTAAAAGGCAAATAGTCGTTTAGCCTGAACTTATTCTCTAAAAAATTTTGTATACATTTTTTCAATTGAGCATTATAGTTTCAGGTAAAGGAATACAGTAAAAAAATTTAAATCTTCAATTTGGTTGTTAGATTGATAACAAATGTTTTTAGAACATAAAAAAATGAATCAAACTATGTCTTTCACCAATTGTTTATCCTGGTGGATGCTGAAGATAGAAGTCAATTTGTTTCTCAAGTTAGCAAACTTGAGGTCAATCATGATGAAAAAAAAATTAGAGAATTTTGAACAAGTAATGGACAACTGTAGTCATCACGACACAGAACAAAAATTGGATGGTAAGCACTTGTCGAAATCGCATCAGACGATAGTTCTGAAGAATTAAAGTCACTAGCTATATTAGCTAATTTGTTGAAGTACAAAACCTAATTTTCTTGAGTGAATTTGAACGATGACCTTAAAACTCAAATTGGATCCGCAGGTAGTGCGCATGTGCACATATTAACATCAGATCACCACGAAAAAGGCAGAAGTCAAAAAAATCCACGAAAAATCTTCCAAAAAATGTTATTCATTGGAAACTTCAGCTAAACTGTGACAGAAATCTGAAGAAAAAATAATGGAAAAATTAGGCCAGATTAAAATAATGTTCAGGGGAAAAACAGTTGATTTCTGGAAGAAAAAATCTTATACATGCACAATTATCTGAATTAAATAATTTATTTGAAATTAAAAAAAATAGACGAAAATGAGGGTAGGTGAAGCAGATAAAGTGGACCACATTTTCAGAAAGTATGTTCTACAAACCACCATTGAAATGGAATAAAATGTGTTTTCAAAAACTTATGGGAATAAAAGTGCCTTTTGCACAACGCCATTGGAGCTTAAGTAAAAAGCCTAAAACATTTAGAACAACAAGAATGAATTAAGGGTCAACATGCATGAGTATAGAGAACATAGAAAGAATATTATATTAATTATATTTTTACAAAATTTCATTTAACACAAATAAAATTCATCACTAATAATTATAATAGGTATTCGGTTTATGATATAGCGAGTGACAACTTCTACGTGAAAAACACCTGACTAACACATACGCTTCAGGCGAAATATATCTCAATAGATACTACTTTGTAAGACATACATTTTAAAATTGGTTTCCAATACATCATTGGATTGCATTTACATAAAGTGTAAGTGCCATATAATATGTTTCTGAGGAATAAGAATCATTCAGGTAAAATTTCTCGCAAAGAGAAAACTATTATCATTCAAGAAGATAACATTCATTCAATTAAAAATAAATAAATTAGACAATAAATAACAACTAGAATTTGAATTAAAGCTTTTTCCACAAAATCTATACAAATATTATTTTTGAAATGACTAGGTATATTGAAATTAGTTCTCGTAGTTAAAAAAAACATGCTGATTTTTTATATACATTTTTTATCTAATATTTTATTCTATTTATTCATTATTTTCGATATTGTCATCAAAATCAATATGAAAAGCATATTATACCTTTGTAAGTATTTGTAGCAAAAAAATAGTTAAATATAAAATATTTTAATTAGAATGTCAATTAAAAAAATAAGACAGAACATTTTTAGTAATATTGTTATTCAATATATATATATATATATATATATATATATATATATATATAATTGACTATATTAATTAACATAAAAATATTAACATAAAAAAATAAATGAATATAATTAACATACACATAAGAAAAAATATAATTTTATGTACAATTACATATTTATATACTACATTTAAATTTTCGGGTAGTATTGTCCACTTACAAAATATGCGTTTGTTCAGAGCATCGAACAATAATATGTATAAACTATATAGTACAAATCTATATAAAAAAATTATTTGATAGAAGGAGGAATCGTTAAAAAATTGTTATTATTCAACAATCCCCACAGGACGCACATTGTTATATCTCTATATGCTTACTAAAGCAAAAACTTAGATTCATCATATAAACTATGCTCGCTTTTTTTGGTTATATAGTTGATTTTAGAAGACAAAATCAATATATTAGTCCCTCAGATATTCAATAATATGCTTTTCGAACGCAGATAAATTAAATAGTAATTAATGAAAATCCGTTGATATTGCCATCATCATTACGTTCCAATGATGAGATGACGTTAAACATCAAACGTGATATAGTTGTGTGTTGTGTGCTGATTTGCTGATGCCCAAGGTGTATTTACAATTTACTCGCAAGATTTGCATATAATGGAATAGAAGTTGCGATTCTGAATCTGAACTCAGCGGCATTTCCTTGGATTAAGTGAAACTTTGTGCATGCATGATACAATGGATTTGTCTTCGTTTACTAGGAAGAAGCTAACATTGTTACAGATGCCGCGATTTATCTCGCCATTTCAGACAGAATATATTGTACTTGTACCAATGAAATTATTTGCTTTAAATACCTTTTTGATGTCTTAATCTCTATTAGCTACTTTGAGTTGAGGTTTGTATCTTTCACATTATCCTAATTAGATATTGATTAGGATAATGAAACCAAGACAGTTAAATAACTTGGATGTGAGTAGCATCCATAGCCTTTTACCTTGCATTTAATAATCAATTTTGTAAATAAAAAATGATAATATCATAAATTTAAACTAAATATCATACTAACTAAACTTAAATATCATATAATAAACTTGCAGTATTACAATAGAGCGAATGTATGCACCTATTTAGACAAAATTTTTACAAATACTGGTCAATAGTATTAATTGAGATAAGTTTTTGAAAACGAAAAAAATGAAATTATATTTATATTTTCATGTTATAAGACACTATGGCATACACTTCTAAATCATTTTTTAAGTAGACAGTCTACCATTATTTTAGCATTTATTGTAAAAAATGTACTCTTTGATTTGTAGTACGAATATGAAAAATTAGGTATATTTTTAATATTTAAACACGTGTTGCCAATATACAAAACTTTTCAGATTTTGGAATAGCCATATCCAGGCGGTTCGAAAATACAGCAACAAGCGTGAGAAAAAATAAAAAAATATTGAATAATAAAATATTAATAACGCGTTTAATAAATCTAGTTGTTCAAACATGAATATGTTGAAAAAATTACAATTAAACCAATTTTATAGACCCAAATGCATATGTAAAATAAGCACATAGAATTATTGAAATTTTTATATCAGATTTATTTTATAGCATATATAAAATCTAGGTTACATTGCATTATATAGGTAATGGTTTTTTGAATGGCCAATTATTGCTCTGCAAAATTGTGCAATAATTTTCATTGCTGCAGCAAAACTATTTAAAATTAAATTCAAAAGTATTATGATAATTGAAAATATTAAAAAAAATATTAACACTTAAATTTATAAAATATGATATTATAGTTTTTATTGAATTTCTCAAAAAATAATTAATAAATATCTAATAAATTTGAAAATATTATCTTTACATTATTATTAAAACTTTAAATTTAAAAAAGTTTTCTTATTATTTTAATTAATTAAGGGACCGAAAATGAACGTTATGGCAAGGATATGTTATGTAGCAGTTTTCATACAAAATCGCACTAAATACTGGTGTTTTAGATAAAAAACCTAACCTAATGTCCAAAAACGATGTTATGATAACTGGATCTTTGTGATAGGGTTTGATAACATTTGAGTAAAGTTGCATTTTATGTGTAAAACTCCTGATCGTACAGGAAATACTTGGCATTTTGACAGTATTTAGTACGATTTTGTATGAAAACTGCCACGTAACAGAAAATAGTCTTGCCATAACATTGCTCCACAAATTTCACAAATAAGTACCTCCAATAATTTAAAATAAATATAAAAAAAATAAAAAAATAAAAAATAGAAAACTAAAAAAACATCTTCAAAAAATTCAATTTATAAATGATATGGGCCAGTGGTGGCGATATCGGTTAGTTAGAACGTGGGCTAGCACCAACTAGTCCCGGGTTCGCTGGTTCGATTCCCGCTACCGCCAAGTCTGACTTCAGGCAACTTCGATGTCAAATTTCCACTTGAGGTTATAGATCTCAAATATAGCCTCCAGTGAAAATCGCCTTTCGTGGGTATAGTTGCATATATAATAAAAATGTCAGCAAGTACTT